TTTGACAACATTTCCCCAAAAAGGAAAGGCAAAGAAAGTGATCCTTACTATATTAAAGAGCTATTGAAGGATGTAAATCAAACTCAAATAGTTATTTCAAATTAATTGAGGCTTTCACTCTTGTTCTGAAGCCTCCATTGAATACCTAAATGAGACTGGTCGAACCACAGATTATCAAGATGGTAGGTACTTTTTTATCAGCTTTGAAATGAAACTAAGATGGACAATCTGCAGCAATCTTTTAAATTCACACAGCCCTTTGCTTGTGTCAGCCAACAGCAACGAGCCGGGTTGCCCATTTAAGGGAAAAAGTACAAGCTCCAGCCTATTTCCCTGTACTTCATGTGTGTTTGTCCCCCTCCTTCAGCAGTGCATTCTGTAATGCCAAAAAGTATTTCTTTCCTTACAAAAGGCAAGCACACATGCAGACACATACGTACACATTTGGGATTAACTTTTAGCTTTAAGAGAGTTGCAAAATTAAGCAACTGGATGTCAGAATCGTTATTTTTCCTTTCTGTTCTGTAATACCACATATAGCAATTATCTTTGAACTGGGGAAAAAAAATAATAACATTTCCTGCTTTCTAAGTAGACAAGGATAAATCCTGTATGTCAATGTTTGTGGGACTATAAAATATGATTCTTAAATCTTCTGTAATTATGATTTTAAGAGATATACACTTAATGGTAGTAACTGTGTCTTTCTCTACATTTGAGAAATGTATAAACCATTTTCTGGAGCCTACAATCTATGCAATCTTACATATCATCTTGCATGCATGTTTTACTACTTCTTACAAAAGACTTGTAGTCCAAATGAAGCAAAAAGAGAACGAGAGAGTAAAACCACCCACAATTAAACAAAAAATACTGTCCCAGTTTAGCAGGACTTTGTGTCTGCACTGATATCAACACTTTTTTTGCTGAGATGATAAGACTAAAAAGTAACACAGAAAGTGTAGATTACCTGCATAAACTGGAGGAGTGGCTGAAAAATCAAAAAAAATTAAACAAGTGTCCAGAAAGGCAAACTTCTACTAACACATTAGGTGACATAACACGGTTAGAGACTTCCATTGCCCTTCCCAAAGAGGATATGGGCACAACTGTTCCCACCCACTGGACATTACTACATCAAAGATAACTAAAGGGCTGTGTTATAAATACTTCATTTTCTAGTATGACTAACTTGGTACAAATACCAGCTATGGAATGAGAAAAGAGAGGCTAAGAAATATTAACTCTTCACTAAATAACTGTTTCCCCAGTGACAGTATCTCCAACATCAAGGAAAGAAACTTTATTTCCAAAATAATTCTACTTGTCCTGCCATTTTAAATGACTAATTGGCTCTGAATTTTTCTGGTATTATATATAAAATTGAGGAAAAAGTTGCAGTAGAAAACACTAAGAGCAATAAAAGGAAGATGCTGAAGCTGGAAAGTCTAGGCATTTGTGCTTCTTATGAAGAAATTTTAATTTTTTTCTACATAACAGATGACATAATTACCTGACTACCTAGTCTATTTTCACATTTTATTTTTCATTTCTTTTTTCATGTTTTAGCTACTAAACACTTTTGGTGAAATGGGAAATTAATTAAGTTCCTTCTCTTTTGTGCTATTGTTTGCTCTAGACTCTTCTCACACACTGTAGCTCTGTTTCTTTGAATGGTGTTTTGGATTTGTGAAAAACAAAATCTCTGCTCCCAAATTCATTTTATATTTTACATTAGTATGACAAACTGCAACAACAGACCATTAGAAACAAGGAGAGGAAAGAGGAAAACAGAGAAAAATAAAACATCTCTTAGGAAGAAGAGTTATTTGGACTATAGATTATCTATTTTGTTAAATGTTCTTGAGAGAAATCAAAAGAAAACACACGTTGCATTCAGTGGCGTAATCTGGGCCTTTGACTCTGCAAAGCTGAGGCACATTTTTGATTTATGCCTGGGGGCACATCAACTGAGTTAGATGAGGTCACCAAAAGCACTATATTAAGCACCTTATGATTCTGTGCCACCAGAAAGATCACTTTATTGATACACCTGTATCAGTAAAACTAATTATTATGGAAATGAGTACGCTGATGGAACTATGACTTGGAGGAACAGTGCAGGACATACTATTAAAAGTGGAGATTTTCTGGAAGAACTGTGCTTACTGTGCACCCTGCCACCAGGACGCCCAGCTCTAACGTCGGCAGTCCTGCCTCAGTCACCAGAGCCCTGCTAGTGGCAAACACCAGTCTTTACAGGCCAACAGTCTCAGGTTTTACAGTGATAGGCAGTATAGAAAACTCATATATTGCAAGTTCATTTTCAAATTTAACGAAGCCTTCAGCACAGAAAGTGGACTAGTTAATACCTGCGCTGAGGTTAAGAGTCTACAAGATACAAGCAGGAGGAGCATGGATAAATCTCAGGGGATGTAGGCTGAGACAGAACTGCAGTGAGTTTGAAGATGAATTTCAAGCCTTGAATTCTCTTGTTAAAAAGAAGCAGAGGTTTTATAAAGAGCCTGAAAGACGGGAATGATGACAAAATACTCAGTTAAGATGATGACTTCAGCTGTGGCTAGATTGGCAAAAAGAGGCCATAAATTATAATATCGTTACAATGAAGGTGAAAGAACTGAGCCACTGTCAAGAGTTTGGAAGTGGATTCAGAGTGGGAGAGATATACAGTGCTAAAGACTGTGAAAGGTGCCATTAGTTTTCCAAAGCCATGGGAATCAAAAACAAAATCAAAGTAATATACAGTAGAGAAAATAAATGGCTATGCTATGTGCACTTGTATTCCAAGAAAATCTCTAGGAAGGAGAATATCACCAAAACCTCAATTACTTTTTGATTTGATACAAAATTGAACTTAGTTTCACTGCAATCATTAGTAGAATTGGCTATTATTCAAAAATGAAACCATCTGTTGAATAGCCACATTACATATTCCAGTTTTGATTGGAAAATCTCACAGCCTCTTTGTGAACACCTGTTGGGAATAGTAATTTTAGCCTCCTTCCCCATTTTGAAATGGCAAGGAAGACAGATGTATTTAAAACCACAACTCCATGTGTTAGAATTGGAAGTTGCTTTTGCAACTTATCTATAGAACTGTCCAAAGGCAAAAATTGCCTTTTGCTTTTAAAAACTTTAGTAAATGTAGATTCTGCAAGAAAAGTAAAATTATAAAGCCATTTTGCTGAGCAACAGCTAAAAATGAAAAGCAACTAGTAATTAGAATAAAATTTCCACATTTTATATGGATTTTGTCATCCATATATACTGATATATTTCTTCACATTTTTGATTATTTGCCAATTAATTCAATGAAAATTAAAAAGTTGCTTTCACTCTAATGTCCAGAAGACAAAAACTGTATAAATTATACTGTCTCAGTTTTAGTTCTGCATCTTTCTTTGAAAAAAATAACTTTCTCAAGAAATGTCTACATTAAAAAGTAATATCAAAGCTTCTGTTTGGCATTTAGATTTGAGATACCATAGAGCCGTAGTAATTCCACAATAATGATTATCATGTTAAATCATAGCCACCACAAAGCATTCCTATTAGCTGCTTAAGTAAGTAGTGTGCCCCTTGCTATGAAAGAAAATGTAAAATAAATTATTTTTGCTTTAATTTTTTTTTACAATCTTAATACTTCCTTTCTTTTATTGATTCACAGCAGTTAGTTACATTCTCAAACATCAACAAGACACAATTGCTTCAAAATATTTTCATTCCAGCCAATCTGTAAGCATTCCACTGTTAGAATGTGGTACTCGTGATTTATACAGTATGTAGGGATGAACCTGGAATTACTTAGCTGCAGCAAGACACTCTCATCTTCCTGAGCCAGTCCCTTAGTCCACAGTCTAAGTGTCAAACTGCACAGAGTATTCAGTCAGTCCATTCCTCCTTTAGGGCAAATATTTTTAATCTGAGACAATTCCACGTAAATCCTCAACTAGGAATTTTGCAGGGGTTAAATGCATTCTTTAGATCTTTGCCTTCATAACTTCATACATAATATGAATTCATAATCAGTGCTTCTTTTAAAAAAGATATGGATACTAAATTTCTTTCGCATGGATAAAATAGCTTTAAAAATCTGAGGCGGGGGGAAGAAGAGGGGAGGATTGTGTTCATTCTTCAATTGACCAAACAGCTTTTGTCAGTTTAGAGATAAACAAATCATGCTAAGCAATTCCTCCCTCATATTACATGACCACTATGTGACTACGGGATATGCATTTCATACATGTAAACAGACTTCTATTGTTCTGTGGGGGGTAAAAGAGCTCAGAATTGGTTTCTCATTTCTTTTGCTAAAAAAAACAATCACTTTGCAAACAACGAGCAACTCAAACACACTGGGGTATAATAAACATAAGGTCACTCTTGAGGAAGATCGTGTTATAAAGTGAATTAATCAAACAGATTAATGCTCTCTCTATATAAATAAGTGCAAGAGGAAGAACCAAGACCTGCTGTCACAAGGGTAGTACAAAACGTACGAGGTGTGTCTGTGCATTTAATTTTACTCAGGAAAGAAAAATAAAAGTGCTCTAGGTCACAAATTGTTCAGCTAATGCAGTTACTGAATGGCTGTTTCCTGTTACCACACAGGCTGTTACTGTCTTTTAACAAGCTACTAAGCTATCTCTGGTAAGGGATATGTATTTTATTCTTAAATCTTAGTTGGTCTTCTGTCAGCACGTGAGCAGAAAAAAAAAAGTTATGTCAAAATCTATACTTTTTTCATGTTATTATTAGTTACTTGATTATTCTGTCATAAAAGTACAAAAATTATCTGAGTAACTGTGTTCTGCGATGAAAGAGCAAAACAAACACATCCAAACCTTTTATCCCAACTTTTCTCTGCTGAAGTTTTCAGTTCATGCAGAATATTGTTCACAGAAGGAAACAGCAATCATTAGAAAAGAAACTTGCCTCTTGTAAAAGGAATACATTAAGAATTGTCAGTTAAATCTTACCTGTGAGCAAGAACACCTTGGGAATATATCCTTTACACCTCAAGATCGCAGGAGCCTGTCCCACAGTGCTACCACAGTAGCAGCCTTATCCAGCCCTAGGAAAACACAAAGAGAAACTTTTCCCACTTTCCTAGGTCCACCAGCAGCTGCAGTGGTGAAGGCAACAGGGCAGAGCGCAGAAGACCGTGGTCCCTTCTCACAGAAATCCCCGGCAGCAGAAGTAGGGGGTATTTGCTGTCCGTGTCTCACCCAGACTTTTGTTTGAGAGTTTTTTCAACTGTTGCTAGGTGGTGGTAGGCTTTGGCAGTTTAGTTCTCAGATTGTATTTCCCCTCTTCTGGTCTCTTCACACAGTGTTACAGCAATGACTTTGTTGAGCTCAGCTCGCTTGTGCTATATTTAACCAGTGTTCTCAGCAAGTCAAGCCTGTCAACAGCTGAGAAGTTTGGAGCGGGCTTTGCTGAGTTCCTCAGCTGCTGAATTATCAGTGGATGTAGCACTGCACAGCCCAGCTACTACATTCACTGAAAGATTGCAGAGAAACTGTCAAATCCTTTTAAGGCTTCCAGTGACTTCACGGGAGTAATTGCTATTTAAAGCACTAAATACAAGCGGGGCATTTAGGCATATATTTTAGGCTGCTAGAGAAAGAATACTTGTGTTCATAGCAGATGAGTTCAATTATTTATACAGTGAGGATTTTCCTAGGACATGTAGGAAGTTTATAATTTGAAAGGTATGCACTTCACTTGAGGAAAAAGTACACGTGGGGAGAATTTTCATAGCATATTTTTTACACAGTTTAAAAATATTAAGATGACATAGAGAAATTAATGAAAGGTTTACGTTGGAGAGCTTTCAGTGAGATATTTATTCCAAAGACAACCCTGTTCTTCCAGACCAAGATCTTCCTACAGTAATTCCTCCTCTGTCTCTAGTTCTTACTGGAGAAGAAAAGGAAAGCCACAAAAACTCCAATTAGTTTGATATGCAGCAGGCAAGAAGGAGCTTTAGGGACACATCACTCCAGGGTTATGTACATTTTATTGCTTCTGTATCTAATTACTGATTTTAGTTCTAAGCCATAAGTCTCTTAATCAGAATAAGTGCTTTTTAGCCTACAAAATAGTATGATATCAAGGTTGTCCAAAGACTTGGCAGATGTCAGACTGCAGAGAAAAGTTACACTAACTCCTGTGAGAACAGCCCCTGGAAATGCATCTGGCAAGGGAAACTCCTCACCTAACAACTCTCTTCTGATGGGAGCTATGCCTCATGCTTCAGAGAGTCGTACAAAACGGACATCTTTTGGAATGCTTTTCCATCCTCACCTGGGGTTAGATGAGAGGGAGGAAGGAAGGCAAGGCAAGGGAAGGCAAGGGAAAGGAAGGGAAGGCAAGGGAAGGGAAGGGAAGGGAAGGCAAGGCAAGGCAAGGCAAGGCAAGGCAAGGCAAGGCAAGGGAAGAGGGAAGGAAGGAAGGAAAAGGAAGGCAGGAAGGCAGGAAGGCAGGAAGGCAGGAAGGAAGGAAAAGGAAGGAAGGAAGGAAGGAAGGAAGGAAGGAAGGAAGGAAGGAAGGGAGGGAGGGAGGGAGGGAGGGAGGAAGGGAGGAAGGAAGGTCCTAGACAATCTGTTCGTTGGTCTTCATCCATGGAGGTACCCAGTTCTTTCTGAGCAAAAGCAAGAGATTCAAGCAAACTATAATGATACCCATGAGTGATGCTGGGTAACTGTGCAAATTGTAGGATAGATAGCAAAAAGGTGTCATGCCCTTTGTGGTGATTTCAACATGTAGGAACCTAATGTCAAGTAACTGACATACCAACATCACACTGACAGTGTATTTATAAACGCCCCAGATGTTTCCAATGTTTCAAATAAATTTTATTTTGGTACCAAGTAATAATCACTAATCTCTTGTTGTCCATTTGAATATTTGACTTGGACAGAATAGCTAGAATGTGTAAAAATATGAACTCTTTTATTTTACAGAAACAGCTATTTGGAAGATTATTGTAGAGACAGATAATGTTTTGGCACAAGGCTTTGTGTTGCATGCTTACACTTTGAATTTAAGTTACATATTACCCATATTTTAGAAAGAACATCTAATTTTGTTCTCCCATGTCAAACTGAGGTATTCCAATCAGATGAATATCTTTTTGGCTGCTGTGGCCTTAACTTATCTCTCAAAATGCAATATTAATAGTACTTTATCCATTAAACTACAACAATAATCAGGCAAACAAAGTAATTAACTTGGCTCATAAATCTCAGTGAAAACAAGCAATTCTCAGCATTTCTCTCCCATTAGTTAGTGATATACTCACAGAGCGGAAAATAAAGCAACTTCTTAGGAGGGTGATTAGCTGCCAGCCCATGTGGTTGGGTTTCAGTGGTGACCTGCTGATGCATGTCTGTGCACTCTTGCACAATTGCAACCTTAGTCCTCAGCTGTAAACCACAGATATTATTCTTATAACATAATAGGAATTTGAGCAAGATTGGGAGGAATTCAGAAGGTTTTACAAGTGAATCAAAGAAAATATAAGAAACTCTA